TCGCCCAGTGTTGAAAAGCACTTAAAGGCAGTAAAAGGCCCGAAAATTTGTGCGCGTAACACTGTAACCATACTCTCGTATGGTAACCCCGTGTGCCAAATGCGATTTTTTGCGAATCTTCGATGCGTATTCAAATTTTCAAAGCGGTCATTTAAACATTTTAATTAACTTTTATCAATTTTCAATTTAAAAGCTGAGTAACAGGTATCTGACACTATCGAGACACTCGACTATACCGCTTTTTCTTGTTGTTAAATTGCACTTTTTAAAGGTGACTTCCAGCTAGTGTGAAAGTATGTTAAAGACTTTAGACAATATATTACGTTTTGGGTAAAGTCTTAACTTTTTAGGCCTTTTTCTTTGGAGTCTAGGTGTACGAGACGCAAGACCCAGTTAGGCTTTATAAACAACACATTGCAAAATACACATGTAACTATGTTAATTGTGGGTTAACCATTAAATAGTAAACAAAGTGACAAGAAATACAATTTGAATAGCGGAATTTTGTTGTGTGTATGTTCAAAGATATTAAAAGTATGTTTTTAAGAAGATCAGGCTTTCTGATGTTACAACAAAGTGGATTTGTAATGTATACGACACGGCTGCTTGAATATCACCGTCCAGGAACGAGTCATGTAATAAGTAAACACAGCCATCAAGTGTTGTCTATAAATAAAGCGAAATTTGAACAAAAAGATGATGAAGATACGGAAAAACGCAAAATGCAACGCCCCGTTAATAATTAGTTGCATAATGAACCGCAAATTAAGCCACACACGAGTGATGACAGCAGCAACCACAGCAACCATGGATAATGGCACTGGCAAAACAAAAAAAAGCAATATTAACACAGTTGGTTACTCACTCGGAGAAATAAATAAGAAAGACCCAAGTCGCTTGTCACAGATCAATTGGAAAGGTTTTATTTTTCTTCTAATCGATACTTTGCACATCACTCAAACGAGGAGGCCCATAAAACAAATATTGAATTTCAAGCAAATATTATTTTTCCTGGCTTGCCATGCCGTTTTCTCACTTGCTTTGCATTGTTTATGGCAGTCATACACCAGCAAACTTGGCGTGCCAAATAATCTCTTCCCCTTTTAGCCCTTGATAAGCCTCTGACAAAAATGGGTAATAAAGTCGTGATGATCGAATTTTTTATACAAAATTTTAAGTACTAGCTTTCCCGGCCGTAGCTTTGTCCGGGTTGAAGAAATGTTATCTACACACAAAAAATTTACCAATGCAGATAGTTCCGTAACCATAAACAAGAGAAAACGCTATAGTCGACGGCCCCGACTATCAGATACCCGTTACTCAGCTAACAAAAAAGCACCACCTATCGTTCATCCCTATCAGCTGTTAATTAATTATTTTTTGATTACAACTTTTTAGTGAATGGACCGATTTAAATAATTTATGACAACAAAGTAAATACACTATTAAGTAAGTTTTAAAAAGTTTAAGAACCAAATTTATATGCAAATGCAATATGCATATGCAAAATTAAAATGACTAAAAAATTAATATAAAACCCGATTGGATTTGTATGTTTTAACGTACAAGCAAATCATTTTTTATTTGAAATTAAATTAATTTTTATAAATTGGACTCCTATATCGTTTAGCTCGCCGAAGTTAGCTTCCTTTCTCGACTTTTGTAAATTTTCCGTTTTTATGTAGGATTGGTTATTTTTTAACCCGTAAACTTGGAGCTCCGAATTGGAAAATTCGACATTGTTCTAAGCACTTGCTTTCCAAGAGCAAGAAAACAACATCATTATTTTTACCATCAACTAACAGAGACTTTAACTGCGACACTCAAATCATTGTCTGGTACACAAATGTATCTTCTTCAGGGACCCACCAACACTCACATTGAAACAAAGGCGTTGTGTGTGATTAAAGTGATTCCTTCCTCAAGTGCCAACCCTCGACTTCAAAATGCAGCGACATCATTAAAGCTTTTCGCTACGGGGATATATGTGCAAAAGGGTGGTTCGATTTGGGTGCCAAAAACGTAATCTTTGAAGGATTCCAAGCAATTTTGGCAAACAAACGTATGGCCTAAAATGGCGTTTAAACTCCCCAAACGCAAGTGAAAAATACTGTTTTTTGGACAAATATATCGTAGTCAGCACATTTGTGTTACAACATTTTAGGTCCCTACTTTCCCAGTAACAATTTTTAAATATCTGGAGCGCGTTACGATATTTTTTCCCAAAAAATATTGTTTTAAACATTTTAAAGATTCTGTTCCACTCATACGATTTGTCACTTTTTTCGGCCCCATAGAAATCGACCCGCCCTAATGTTGCTGCTGCAGCCACGTCGCCACTCAAATTAAGTCGGCAAAGTGCACTGTCAAAGCGCAAAGGGACCTTCTTGCGTCTCTACCCATCACCATGTATGTGGTTGGCCCAGTTTTGGGGCGATCTTGGGGCAAGCTTAACCCAGGCTGCAAATCTTGTCGAATAATTTTGTTTTACTGGAACATAAGGTTGCATTCTACTCGACGTCTCTCTAAAAGAAAACATAACTCGTAAACTCATAAAATAAAATAAAGAAATACCCGTATTTTCGTTTACTTCACGGGCCCTTTAAGTATCATAATCTCCCGTAACTATTCGAAAGTGCTGTTATAACTTATTACTCACTGTTACTGTTTCCTTTAATTATAAATGCCTCGACTATCAGATACCTGTTACTAAACTCAAAGCGCAAGGGAGATATGCCACCAGCGAAGAAATTTTTTTTAAATTGCAGAGCGCCACCTAGTGGCGATTACATTACTGGCTCTTAACTTGTTAATGAAAGGTCACATTTGAATTAGTTAATTGGAACAAATCTATTGATATACAATACAATATATCAATAAAACGTTTTCAAAGTCTCTAAAAATTTGGGCTTACAACAGATTTTAGCGTTATGAACTTTTGTTGGGGATTGAGCGAGCGTGGGAAAATTTCTTGTATGTAAAGCAATGGGTATTCAAGGAGCCAACAAATGTCAATAACAAATTGTATGCCAGCATTAAAACTTTAGAATCTACATGCTTAATAAAGCCCTGGATACGAGTCCCTTATGTCAATTGTATATATGTTTCGAAACATCTAGGTAGTACTTTTACAGTATGGAGAGAGAGAGACATTAGCTGGCGAGAAAAGAAGCAGTATGGGGAACAATCAGAGCATGCTACCGAAATTTAGTTTTTGAACTGCAATCTAAATTTTAGTAAAACATCTTAGCTTCGCAAGCCGAAGTTTCTACACCCTTACATGTCTTTCCTATGGGAGCAATGTATGTACAGACCTTTCCGATTTTTAGAAAACAAAAAATAATTACAGAAATATTACAATAATATTTCATTTCAATTTACAAGCGAAAAAGAGATATATCTGTTTTTGTAATACCATAACATTAATTTTCCTATCCTTCCTAAGGCAGCTATATGACAAAGTAACCCGAGTTTTATTTAATTAAAATCATATTTCTTCAATATTAAGAAATGCTATATATCGGAGTAAATAAGAATATGATCCAAAATAACAAAGCAACAAGTATTTTCCTATTATTTTCCCATCAATTATTCGATCGTTCCTGTATGATATAGTCGACCGATTTATTCGACTCGCCAAGTGATCCTGATCAATATATTCTGTATAGGGTCGAAGCGCTTCCTTCCACCTGTTACAAACTTTTCGACGAACCTTATATATCCTTTACTCTACGAGTAACGGGTATAAAAAGTAGCTGGCCAAATGATTTGTCATAAACTGCACGAATCGCAAATGCAGTGTTTGCATAAATCTGATGGTTCTGCAGCATTTTTAATCAATTTGTGTGTGTGGGCGCAACCCATTATCAGTGGTGACAACAAAACGGAAAATATTCAAGCCCTAAAAGAAAATTAAAACCACATTTTAGAAGCACGCGGTTGGCGGCTGAATTTGGCACTGACACAAGCACAAAAGCCGCATTCAAGGCCGTTGGAGCGGGAAGTGGGCGGATGTTTGGCAGAAGGTCAAAGGGGGACCCATGAGCGCGCGACCCTTTGTTGGCCGTGCCATTTAAAGCGAATTCAAATCGAGTCGCCAGCTCTTGTTGACACTGCCATCGTCACAGGCATCAGCGCTATCGACATCAACATCATCATCATCTGATGTATCCCATCGAGCTCAACTCTTCAGCTGTCATCTATTGATAGGAGCACACAAACACATATTGGAAAATATGGTCGCTTTATTCTTCGTTTTGTTCAGGTCTCTCTAATGAAGGTTGTTCGTGAAATGGCCACATGGGAAATTGCGATAATTGCTCTAACAGTGGTTTCGACAAGCGTTGCAAAAAATGTCTGGTTTTAAAATTAATAAATGGTTTGACGAATTGTTGCCATACCTTACTTTCTCAAAATATTTATTTTATTTTAGTTTACAGTGTAACATGAAAACATTTTTTTTGGCTTTGTTAAAGACTGGCTCTTTGATCATCTGCGGATCTAGAAAGGGGAAATGGAGAGATTATATTAGATTGGCGTTCATAAACAGCTTGAGATCTTGGAATTATAAACGTGATCTGAATCGGAATCTGCTTATAAATTTCCCAATATCACAGCGTTCACACGGAGAGTCAGATCCCTCGACGAGTCCTTCTAGCCATGTCCATATCAACGCTGAGATCTCAAAAATTATGTTGGGAATACCCATGCAGCTTCTAGGGCTTCCTGCGCATCGCAGGTTTGTTTGATTATTAATACTCATCCACATGCTTTGAAAAAGTTATTACAAATTGAGAAATCTACATGCTCATGATTAGAGAATTTAGTTACTTTTATGGAGGTTGATGGTTATTTTTAACGCAGAAGCAGTGCTAATTCCCAGAACTGACCTAAAAAAAGCTGAGGGCGCATATTCCGCGTGGTAAACCAAAAGCCAAATCCGAAAACCTGAATTAAATAAGTTGCAACTACCAACCAACCTTTCCCATTTTTCGTTGCAGCCAATTACTTTGCACTCAACAACAGCTACTCTTTTGAGTTGTTGTTGTCGTCGAGGGGGCCAAACAGCTTTAGAATGAAATGGAGATGCAAAGCTACTCTGGTCATGGACCAACGACAACAACTTCAGCCACAGCGGAAAGTGCAACAGCAACTGCAGCAGTCCCAGCAGCAACATTCACACAGCGACACTTCAGTTGTCGACTGGAAGAGGCGGCCCGGCCGGAGGTCTGGCAGCCTTTTATTGGCTGCGACAGCAACACCAGCACCAGCAGCAACAGCAACCTCATCCTGCCCACCAGCAACATCCTCGTCAACGGCAGCAGCAGCTCATTCCAGTGTGCCCGGCAAGCCTTCGATAAAGCGGAGCAGACGGCCCTCTACAGATGCGATGGGGAGGGCCCATTGTCTGAAAGCTGCGCGTTGAGGCTGAGGGCGCGACTTTTGCAAGTGCCGTACGAGGCGTATGAGCAATTTCGACTGGCAATCAACGGGGAACTCAGTGCATCCAGTGATATACTTAGTGATAGTTCGAGCTGCGTGGAGGGAGAGGATGTTTTGCAATGTGAGCTGGGGCTGACCCAGGAACTATTTCTTTGTCATTTGCAGCCGCAGCAGGAGCCATTTGGGGAGCTGGATGGCCTGGGGGAGGCGGAGCCCCTCTCGAACGGCAGCCTACTGGAGGCCTATCCAATCGAGCTGGGCAACGAACACGACGGACTCTGGTCCTTCCTCAACCTGAGCGAGCTAATGGAAGCCGGCAACGACACCTCTGGCATCGTGAATGCCACCAGCAGTAGTTTGGACATGATTCTGGCCAACTACACGGCCCTTACCACAACAACAGTCGCCTCCACCGCAGCCACGTCGAGCGATATCGGAGTTACGAAGAGCTTTCTGGACTACAGTCCCCACGGCTACGATTGGCTTTTCCTGTTCGTGGTCTTCTTCATCTTTGCGGGGGGCTTGGGCAACATCCTCGTCTGCCTGGCTGTGGCCTTGGACCGGAAGCTTCAGAACGTCACCAACTACTTCCTGTTTTCCCTGGCCATAGCCGATCTCTTGGTCAGTCTGTTCGTGATGCCCATGGGTGCCATACCAGCTTTCTTGGGTAAGTCAACGTTATGGCTCGAGCGATCTTAAATGATAAGTGATTATAAGTAGATAAAATGTCTCCAATTATACTATTAAATAACTATAGTCAACAGTCCCCATAGTCTGTACCCCCTTGAAACGTATTAAATGGCCATTATGCCGACTTCGTTTAAGCAAACTTTTTATCTTTCGCGTGGCTTCTTTGAGTGTACTCCAGCAATCAAGTGCCCATGCAAGTCAGCGACTAATGCATTTGCACATGAATTATTTCGACGCCATTTCCTCCGGCTCCTGCTCATCTCCAGCCGGCTCCCAAGCCCACCCATCCTTTGCATCCGCCTTTCCCATTGTCACGAGTTGTCATCCTCGCTGGCTGCTTCCGCTTTGGCTCAGCTGCACTCATGGCAAAATGAAGCAGTACTGCACTGGCAAAAGAAAACCAATTGGGCTACAAGAAGTAAATTAACTATACTGAATTTATTACTTTCTTTTCGGGCAAGCATTCCTTAGCTTTGAATTGATTTTATCAATCTGCATGCAAAAATTTCAACTCTGTAGATCTAATAGTTTCTGAGATCTCAACGTATCCCTCTTACGATCACGATACTTTACTTCTACCCTTAATTACTTTTTTTTAATATTAAATTAGACTTAAATAAAGAAAAATTGGTTTTTACTAGTTAAATACAATGGCTTGTAATAGAGGGATACCATTTTTGAGATACTCTTGTTAATCTATTTTTCACACTGCAATCTTCTCAGTGTAGCAGAAGCCAAAGTGGCACAGCTTTAAACTAGAATGACAAATGCGTGACTCAGTTTGATGGTGTTTAAATGCCTAAGTATTTTATGTTCCTTCTCCTTTTTATAATCCTCACTGCCACAAAAAACGGATGCTGTAATCAAATTTCTCCAAAAGTGGTAAAACTTAAGTTTCTTGTAAGCAGCTGTTTAACACCATCTAAAATATACAGAGCGATAAAACACAAAACGAAGGAAGTCGGGATACATTTTCCGGATCAGTACTAACAGTCTAAATGAGATACGACCAAATAAAAGTCGTGTTTGTGGGAACTAAAAATGCTAGAGATGACAAAAGCTTCACCACGCAGAAACCAGAAGAATGCGCCGACATCAGATACCCCTTACTCTGTTAACCTCTAGATGCCACCAGTTGCTAGCGCCTCTACTCTTAATGACGTCACTGACCATATAAAGCCTCCTAACTTTAATTTGTAAATATGAAAAGGGAAAGACGACAGACGATGTCCATAAAGCTAGAACTTGTCGGCGCACAAATTTTAAAAATACGTAAAATCTTAGGTGGCTTGACTAATTTGCGTACGACCCTGAAAAAACCAGAAACAAAGTCAGACCCACCTCTTACCTTTTTCATCCTGGCCAGAAGTGAACCCAACGTAGCGAAAACAGATGAAACGTTCGCATAAATTAAGTGTGCATCTATCATCATACATGAATCCTATACAAGAAGCCGAAAACAAACCCTTAGTCAAGCCCCGTACCCATTGTATATAAATTGAAACAAACAGTTTAACAGCATCGGGGAAAGTTATGGTATCAGTTCTTTAACAATGTGGAATAGGGAGGCGAGGTATAGTTTCGTTGCCAGACCTAATATTGTTTACGAAAAAGTATGTATTTAAAGAACGTTTCTGAGCATAATTCAAGGATTTCAAGAAAAATTATTTAAAGGTGTGTAAGGATATACAAGCTAAGCAATTTACTCGCTTCAAAGGATGCCCCACAAAATAGTTGTTGCAGGCGTGTGCAGAATCTATGGCTTACATATGTTTCAACAACTATTTTGTAAAGCATACTTAAACGTGCCCATAGGTCAAATGAATTCACTTGCTTAAAACTTTACAAAGACATTTTTTTTAAGAAGAAGAAAGGTAAATAATTTTTAATGACAAAATTAAAGGATTTATTTTCTTACTTTCTGCTTATTTGTAGTCCTTTCGAAAAGAAACAAGGTAAACATTCAAGAAGGTTTTTTTAATCACTCTATTTATACCCGTTATTCGTAGAGTAAACAGGTATACTACACTCATAAAATTATTTTTCTAAATACTAGAAAAATCGCCCTAAACATGAAATCGCCCTAACATTGAGAAAAATCGCCCTAAATATAGGAAACATCGCCATAGAAAATATGTTTTAGGGGTTAATTTTTCTAAAATTTCTATTATTTAGGGCGAATTTTTCCGAGCAAATGTTTTTTAAATTTTCTCATATTTAGGGCAAATCGCCTTATTTCGTGAAACAAAAAATCATCCAAAATCGCCCTTGAAACTAGAAAATCGCCCTTGAAATTGGAAAATCGGTGGACTAGCGGTCTAATGCGTTGAACGTTCAAACTCGTCTAAATGGTGTGAGTTCGAGCCCACGAAGAGTCAACATGTATTTTTCTTTTTTGTGCAAGTTTTTAGAATTGAATTATTGAACAATTTTGTGTGCAGAGGCAAAACAAATATTAGAACACGTCAAAATAACAAAAAAAATGAATATTACATTAAAATAATAGTTTTTAATGATTAAGTCTAATTGGGTAATATAAATCATAATATGTTGTCATTAGTGAGAATATTTCTTAGAATTAAATTGAGAATTTGTTCTTAGAACAAATTGAGACATGGAACCTTTTTGCGCGTCGCCTAACGCGATGCGTCTTTGGTGCAGCGGTAGTGTTCTCGACTGCGAACCCAGCGGTCGTGAGTTCGATTCTCGCTGCGACCACGAAGAATTTTCTCAATAAGTAAGTTGTTTTGTATTTATCTTATTTCCCTGATTCTGTTTAATGACTACTTTCAGTTCGTATGACTCTAATTAGCAGTTTACCTACCAACGTGCGTGGAGCGGCCAAATAATAACCTTGCCCTTCTCACCCTCTCAAATTATAGTAAAAAAGGACACTAAGTCAAAATTCCTGGAAAAAGTACCGCAGATAATGTTTGCTGATAACCAGCAAACATGTCCAAACACGTTTTTTTATAAAAATTAGTTTTAATATTTTGGGCACTTGCTCTTGTTTTTAGGGCGCTTCACCATAATTTCAAGAAATACCGCCGTGGATGCTTAAAATTTGTTTTCATATGTTAAGGGTATTTACCTTTGAAAACAGAAAAAATCGCCCAAGATTTAAGAAAATTAACCCTAGATCTAAGAAAAATCGCCCTAAATGTAAGACCAATACATGCCTATTTTTAGAAAATGTTACCCTTATTTTGTTACCCAGTCGCCATTGACCCCCTTTTTAGGGCGATTTTCCTTGTTTTTAGGGCGATTTTACAGTAAAATTTCTATGAGTGTAGATTCCTCGGAAAGTATGTAACATGTAGAAGGAAGATTTCCGACCGCATAAAGTATATATATTCTTGATCAGCATCACTAGCCTAGTCGATCTAGCCATGTCTGTCTGTCTGCTCCTATAAACGCTTTGATCTCGGAAATTTTAAGAGCTAGAAAATTGAGAATTTAGACTTAGTTTATATGCATATGACAATGGAGACACTCGGCTATTCTAGAGTTAAAAAAAAAATAGTTAAAATGAACTTATGGGCTTTTAATATAGTAACAAAACAAATATAATATAATAACAAAACTGATTATTATTGATAATACAAACATATCAATTTGATATGAAAGAATATCAGTATGGTATGAAAGAATAATAGTCATATCGAACGCCGTTGTACCCTCTGCACACAGTATAAGTATGCCGTATCCGAAAGCAAATACAATCTTAACGCTTACATATGGAATGTTCTCAGCACCAACTGATCATTCCTAGATCGAATAAATAAGTACTTTCTAAAATTTTCTCATTCTCATTGAGCTTTTTACCTCGTCTTGAAAACTTAAATTTTTTGATGCAAAAGTTTCTCCAAACAAAAATAATTGTAACTGCAAAAAGAATTTTTCAAAAATCCTGACCGTACCTAGCAAGAACACAGTCACAGTCACGTCACAGTGTTTGCATATCAATTTTGGTCCTTATATGGCCATATCAAAATGATATATTTGCACATATCAATGGGTTTTTTTCATGTTAAATTAATGTGCAGCATATCAATTTATATCATATAGCAATATTAAATGATCGACAAAACATGTGTTTCAATAACATAAAACACCGTGCAGTGTTTTATTTTCTATCTATCAATTTTGAATTTCTCATATCAGATTAAAATGTTTGTAATATAAATAGCTTTGCTTTTAATTTTTTGCTTCGTATAAATTATTTACTTTAAATATCTTTGGATTCATCATAAACATGTTTTGAGGATCTAGCAATAAATGGAAGGAAATCACTGAACTCGGCCCCTCTTGTTGCTGTGCACCAGCGCCAGGGAGTCCTTTTCGTGACTTCCCAGCGAAGTGGTGGACGTCCACTTGCCCAAACTAATTTAATATGAAACACATGAATTGGGAAAACTTAGTAGATTATATCACTGGACGGTTGAATAGTAGCATCACAATAATCATAGCCAAACTATTTTTTATCCCTCGCAAATTTTTGGTTCTAAAACGTACAAATCTGATAGTTACAATTTCTGTTTTACAAATCTCTGGATAGCTTCTTCATCGAATGATTATATTTCTATTTAGAGAAATAGTATGTCATGGCACTCACGAACCAGAACGTGGAATTTGTCATTTCGCCACAGTAAAGGCCCATTCACAGTTGTAGGACTGGGGGAAAGGTCTGTTATTTCACATTTGTGTTTTTTCGCGTGAGTGCTGGTGTTGAAAAGTCGACGAAAACTGTAAACTAAATGTTACTAAAAGCCTTAAGTGTGGTTTCAGCTGCAGCGGATATAATAACAAAAACAGCGACCCTTGCCTTTCCAAAAGTTAATCCGAAAATGGGGTCGCAGTTCTTTGGCTTATTTTAGTTTACGTTTGTAAACAACGCCTATTCTTCGGTCGGGGGCAATTAGTTTTAAAAGACTTTAAAATAATTTAAATTGTTCTCTCTACAATTAACACACCGAGAAAAAGCCGTTCATAGCGGTCTCGATTTCAGAGCGGTTTTACTAAAT